ACGCTGGGGAGGAAAGCCATTCTAAGTTAATTGCTTTTTAAATTGGAAGATCATGGCAAAACAAATGTCATTCCACTAGCAAAGCTCCCTGGCAGTTGTTCATTCAATTGGGGAAATGGGTGGAGGGGTGCAGAATAGCAGAAAAAGAAAATTGAGTGTGGTGCAATGTCACAGCGTTTCTCCCACAGTTGAGTTGTTAGAACGTTGTTAGTTGTTGTTTTAACAGGAGGCATCAGCATGTTTCTGAAGAGTTGAGTACGTTGCTATAAATATTTTATTGATGGAATATCTAATAGAAAACAAAATACAAACTTAACACTGAGTTTAATATCCTAAAGACTAGTCTGAAAAGGCAAAGGCATGTTCACTCTTGCCACCTGTAATCCAATGATTCTTTAACTAGATCAAGTTCTGTAGGAACAGCTTGTATGGGAGAGTTCCTCTGTGCAGAGCAGACTATAGAGCAAATTCATTTACCTTTATGGCTTGAATCACCTAAATAGATTGCCTGCATCACTCCATTCTGTCCACCTACCTCTTAGTCTGTCACAGAACCTCTGCAGACCATCAGTCTCAGAGACAACTCTACACAGCCTAGACGAAAGCACTACCAAAGATGTAGACTTGGGATGAGAGTCTGTCCCTAATATTTCCTTTCGATGCCCTCTGCATCAGGTTTTGCTAAGTGCATTCTGATACATCTGATTGGATGTTTAGAAGAATGTCTTTACTGAAAAAGTGGTGAGGTGTTGGAGCAGGCTGCCCAGGGAGGTGGTGGAGCCACCGTCCCTGGAGGTGTTCAAGAAACATGTAGACATGGTACTTGGGGACATGATTTAGTGCTCATGGTAGTGTTGGGTGGTGGTTGGACTTGGTGATCTTAGAAGTCTTTTCCAACCTTAATGGTCTTATGATTGTTTCCGTGAGTTGCACAGAGAGGATTTAGTGCTTGTCTTAACTGCTGTGGATCCTACAGCAAGAGTCAGGAACTGATACGCTTTTTGTGTATTTAGCCTTTAACTGTTTTGCCTTGGTTGCTTCTTATGTGGCAACACTAAGACAATGTTAAGTATCAAAAAAGAGTTGTATAGCAAGTAGGCCCTCTAGAAAAGGAAAGTATGTGTTTTGTTACAATTTTTGTTTTAATGACATTAAACAAAGCAAAAGTAATTTCAGAAAACGTAAGCTTCTGCAGTTGATGTGAAATGATTTTCACTGCTCCTGGTGGGCAGTATCTTTCAAAGGGTGGAGAATTAGAATTTGACAACAAAATCAAACATTAGTGGCACAGTGTACAAAGGAACTCTTATTTTGCATTATGTTTGTCTCTTGTTCATGTGAACAGAAAAGTTCAAGATACTCATAATTACCTAAAACATTAGTTTGGGATTTTTTTTTCCTTTAAAAAACACAGCCCTAGTAATTCAGTATTTAAGCTTTGCAATCTCAATTAGTTTAGTAGCTAGCACCATATCGGTTACAACACTAGATTTTCTAAATCTTAGTATCAACTCAGTGATAATAGTGCCAAGCTGTTTGGACCTTCTTGTGAGATCTGCCCCTGCATGACAAGTGACCAAGAGGTTTAGAAGTGGAGGAAGTGGTCAACAGCCTCCCCAGCCCCTCCATGCTGTAGACTTCTGTGGCTTGCTGCTTTCATTAGCACATCCTTGATGCATTCTCAGAGTCTTGAGTGTTACCACTACCTGCTGAGCCAAATCCCTCCTGCCTGTTTTGTCAGCCTCCACTCATTCACACTGCTCCTCTTGCTGCTTCTTGTCCTTGCACCAGCTCCTTCACTACCTTCATGCATCTGCCACTAGCCCCACTTGTTCCTTCAGTACTGCTAGTGCTTACTCACGTTACTGTGGAGTAATGTGAATAAGCTGATGGGAAAAGCAGTTCAAGGAGTGGACCAAAAGAGACACAAAGATATGTGAGATAGGCGAGAGAAGGTAGTAGCAGTGAGATCTTCTTCAAAAAGATCTGCTATCTAGTTCCTGCCTCAGTAGGTGCTTGAAACTTTGTAGGAATGAGGTAAGAAAGCTGTCATACTACAAACAGTCCTCTGGAGAATTGGGAGTCTCACTGCAGCCTGTAGGAATTCTCATTCGTTGCCATGTCAGGTGAACACAGCTATTTGAATGCCTATACTTGCGTGCTTTTCTTTCCTTGGTACTCATCTTGAAATCCTCTGCTTGAATGTTATAAAGCCTACTTGATGAGTTGTTTTTAAAACAAAACATAAGAGCTTTCAGTTAGCTTAGTTTAGTGGATATCTTAATCTTCTCACTGTGAAACAAAGGTAGTTTTCTGTGTTTTGGTATCTGAAAGTATTCAAAAGCTTAGTCTATTTTTTTATAAGAGAAGTCATTTTTTCTGTAGTGGCACTTAAGGGAATTCTTCTAGACTGTTCTTTGGAAAAGTTCATATTTACTCAAAAAGGAGGGTAAAAAACCTAGTTCAACATCATTCACTCAGGATTTTCAGAAAAATATTTTGTTTTGACTGCAAGCTAAGTAAGTGCAAGGTTGTGTATGACAAGGAACTGCACGGAAGTATTAGAGTCATTCCCTTTACAGCACTCCCTTGTATTTTCATAACAGTGGCATTTTATTTCCTCCTTTTATGTTTATATTTACCCTTGACATAGTCTGCAGTTAATTACTGTATTAACAAGGATTTTGTGTACAAAGTAGAAAATTCTTCTTCGTAGCCACACCAATGCTACATTATAATATTCTAATAGGCTGATTTTTGTCTAAACTAATCCAACAATCTGTGTTTTTTCAGCAGACTAATTCTGATGACTGATGTTTGAGCATGGTTGTTGTGGGCAGTGTGCTTTTATGAATTCAGTAAGTCAATGGGTGCTTGATTCACTTCTAAGTCAGCAGACAAATAACATTAAACTAATAGAATATTACTAGGGAGCAGGACCAGGACAAAAAAGCTATAATTTCATTCAACTACTAACATTGACTAGATGCTTTTTAATGAATTCAGTTTTGATTTTAAGAAAGTAATTAAGTTGTCCAAGGCCTAAAACTGAGGTTTGGGAGGTTTCTGGCTCCAATATGGTCTTCATTTGAATGTGCCAAGACACTTTTCACCTGTGCCACATTTTACCCTGAATTAAAATTGGATAATGGTACTTGACAGGGGGATGTTAAATTCTATTCATAAGGGCTTTGAAATCTGGGATGGATAAGTTCGGTGTCTGAAAGGAAAGTATATTCATTCCGTTTTAAAATACCTAAACTAATGTTTAAGTGACAAAAAGAATCGCTGTGAAGCAGCCCTGTATTTTCTAAGTTAAATATAGAGGGACCGTGGTACACCTTGCGTGTGAAGTCACATGAAATGGACAATTGGCAGACTAGAGGGTCAAGAACTGTAATTTTTTTCTTCTCTGTTGCTTGCAGAAAGCTCTCGATGACTGTGTGGTTACCTTTTTACATCCTGTATTGTTAGGCACTCCAGAGCTGCTAAATGATATTCCCTTCCTAATACTGCTCATTTTTAACTGGGTTTTTTTAGAGTCAGTAGTGTCTATAACTGCCTGTTTCTTGGAGTAACTCAGGACATTAAGCATCTTATTTACAAGCAGATTGAGTGCATCTGTGCTTGCGGAACTGGATGGTCTGATCTTTTTAACACTAAGGCTATTTGAGAAATTCAGAAACAATGTAGAGTGTTTTGCTTTAGACAGGCTATGAATCTGAAATTAATCATCTTAGAGTGAAAAAATCATAAACGTGGGCCAAATTTTGAGGGTTGAGTTAGTTTGAAGCCCAGTCTTCTCCTTTACTCCCTGACAAAGTATTTTCTTTTTGGAAAGTACTGGTTCTAATCTCTCCTACACTTCTCTACTCTAGGGCTCCAGACTTTTTCTCCAGCTTTCCAAGTTTTTCACAGGAATCGGTCCTCACTCTCATACTGTCTTCCTGGATATAACTTGTTCTTTCATGCTTGCTATACCAGACACATACAGAGCATAGTTGTCCTTTGAGCCTGAAGTAGAGGTCCACAACGGTTTTTCACTGACAGCTTTGTGATACTAGGTCTGAACGTACAGAGTGGTGCACTGCTTTCTGCAGCTTTTCTCCCTGCTCGTGGTGCTCTGGAGGCCTGAAGTTTATGGCTGGATGTGTAGTGTATACCTTGTTTCAGAAGAGCAAGCTTCGAATGAGACATAAGGCCTGTCAGCTGTGTTGGCTTCTGCCCTCCATGAGAATGAAACTCCACAGGTAGTTATCAGATACATGTGAAGAGCCTGAGTGGAAGAATGTAGAGAAAATAATCTGTCCCTGAAGACAGTAAACTCAGGAATGTCACTCACTTTTCCTTACAGGAATTCTTGCAATAAGTATGAGACCTGCTAGAATTAGAAGAGGTTTGTTTATAGAGGAAGTGAGTTGCATGGAGACCCACTACATACATTAGAAATTAGAGAATTGACTTAAACTCCTCCAGGTTTGGGGGCTGGGGGGTGCTGTTGTGTTTTTTTAGTCCTGAATTGTAAAGTAACCTGGAGTGATTTGAACTGCTTTTGACTGAGACATACAGTTTTAAAAAACAGATTTTTCTTCTTAAAACTGTGCAAAAAATATGGCTTTTTAGCATTCTGTCTTTATTCATGTAGTAGCAGAAATAAAATACACGTGGTCTGCAAAGAATTAAGTTAAGATTACTTCGAGTAGATTTATAATCTACTCTGTAAAGTAAAACTGCAAACTGTCCTGAAAACTGTTTATTTGCAAGTAGGTTTCTTGCTTGCCTTTTTTTTTTTTTTTAAAAAAAAAAAAGGGGTACTGTTTCCTTGTTTTTAACCACATAGGAGTTAACATTTCATGGCTGATAGACATTCTTTTCAAACTAGGTATATTCTCTCCTTATTCAGGAAGCCGGTGGCTTTTCTATGTACATGTGCTGGCCCCGTTGTCTGTCATCTTTTTACCTTCCTGCTTTTTAATTTATTTTTATTTTTCTTTTTACAGATGTCACCAGTCATCAGTAAGTCAAGGGACCTAAAACTTGGCTCAGAACTTGACACCAATAGAGACTCACCCACAACACAGTAAGCGAGGAATACTTAAAACAACTTGCAGTGTTATTTCTACAACTGCTGTTACAAAAATGTGAAAAATACTGGAAGGGTTATTTTGTTTTAGCAAGCAAAACAAGGAGTTAGCTTTAGGCTAATCAAAAAATGCTTCACATGTGAAACATGAAGGAAGTAACAGTGTGTATATATGTACACATACTCTGTCCCCCAAAAGAGCAAGGACTGTGACGTATGTGAGAATCAGAACTCGGGGATTCGGGATTGCCCTGTGGCATCCCTTAGCTATGTATTAGGCTGTGATGCTACAAACTGCAAGCTACTTTTGCACTTTCTAAAAATCGAGTTATGTAAATTGCAAAAGTTTGTCACATACTGAGAAAATAGCTTTTTTTTTTTAAAAAAAATTGTGTGCATTCTTTATGTGAAAGCTGTAAGCAGAGAATCTTAACATTTTGAACAAGACCTTCCACACTATCTTCAGCTGTTGCAACCATTTTATAATTAAAAAAATACATCTGAAAATATTTCCTGTTTGCTATTACAGGTACCTGTCATCTAAGCAAAGTTAGTTCACTGATTGCTTTCCAGAGTGGTCCCCTCCCCATGTAAATAATCTGTGCATATCCAGTGTAGATACAGTTACATATCTAATTTTCACTTACCTTTAAAACCTAGTTTTCTAGCTCCAGCTGTATCTAGATTTTAAAATCAATTGTGGGTGGAATTTTAACCTTTATGTATGATGAGAAGTGGGCTGTATAACCACACATTGACAGAATTCAGCATTGAATTTTGGACGAAACTGTTCTGATAGTATATACATCAAGGAAGGAAATACCTTGAAATCACAGTTACTATGATGGTTGATACAGTCTGTTAGTATCCAAAATTAATATAACTCAACTCCATTAATAGAAATTCAGGAAATAATTATTTTGAGTGACATTTTCAGGATCACTTCCACTGATGAATGTGCAAAATCACAAATGATTTAATCAAGTTCAAGAATTTTAAGTCATATCAAATGTAAAATATTCATTTTAATGGAAACTAAGGCTGTCCTGAGAAGAGATGGCGCTGAAAATTCATGCTGAATAAACAAAGCCCCCTCCTCCACCCTCTTCAGTTACATTTCAGGAAGGTGAGAAAAGACACCTACATGCCTGAGCCACTGGAAATGTGGTCCCACGTCCTGAACTATAGGGAACAGGAACGTCTGCAAGGACCAGTCTAATTCCCTTGTTAAAAACACTACCTGGGAAAGATACAGGTGCTTGAATGATGATTTTGGCTTTGTAGGAAGTCTGATAAGCATAAATAGATGTTAAAGTTATTTCTGATTCTGTAAATTTGTCATAGTTCAAATTAAAATGGGAAAACTACTCTGATGTACTGTGCCTGCCTATCTTGTTCTTGTTGAATAAATAAACCAGGAATCTGTCTGTAAATGTAAAAATATTTTGCTGTTTGAGCATAGGAAAGGTGGGGAAAAAAGAGTGTAATGGCTTTCTTGAGAAGAGGAGAGTGGTAATTTGTGTTTTTTTAATTACATCTGTTAACTATTGATCAAGACTAACTGATTTTTAAGATCATGAGCAGTTCTTTTCAACACAGTGCTATAGTAAGTTAAAAAACAGGCTAGTGAAGTGGTCTCATATTACGTCTTCATTTTTTCTCTCTTTGCTCTGCTACGGAACAGTAGGGTTTTGTGGCTGCTTCAGCATTATACTTGAGGGGGACAGGCAGACAATTGCTCTAACACATCAGCTGTGGGTAGAAAAAGCTCTAAATTTGGGCTAATTTTGTGTTTCTTTTACTCTTTTTGTATCCACCTTCCTCTAGAGGTGCAAAGAAAAAGAAGAAAAGGATACAGAAGAATGAGAGAGAAAGTCAGCACAACTTAATGGGTCTTGATACTCCTGTATCATCAGTTACAGCTAATGGTGTTGAAAATGAACCCACAGCCTGTGGGATGCAATTGAAGAAGAAGAAAAGGGTAGTGAAAGGCTCAAACTTAAGCACAAATGGAAAGACAAATATTGCCTTTGAGCCTGAATGCTGTGACACGTAGTCATAATTTAATTCCAAATGTTGTTGGTGTTCAGTATACAAACTGAAGGCTGCAACTATGATTTCACTTCTAGGATTAACAAGAAACAAATTAATTAAAATACTGAAATATGCAAAATGGTGCCAGTTGTGATTTACCAATGGTGTAAACTTCTTTTGGAAGACTTTTGCCCTGTGTTCCTTGAAATCAACAGAACGTTCTTTCATATTCCGTGAGAACCCCACTGACAAATACAGTGTTAACTAATTAAATATCCTAGGCATTTCTGTAGACTCTAGATTAATCCATGGGGAGCAGAGAATCAAGTGAAAAAGTGTGATGTGGTACGTAGCAGAAGCCAAATCACTACGTAAGTTATTAAATAGCATTTCAAAATATGTTGTAAATAAAATAGAGGTGTGTTCAGAATGGTAAAATTCCAAAGGAACGCTGACATAACAGTGTACCTGAAAACATAAGCTCTTAAAAAATGTTTTTCTGACATTACATATTCATTTAGACTTTTGCATTTTGCTTCTCTGAAGCAAATTATTGAGTAACTACCTATGCAACTACACTGTCTTCAGTGGGACTGCTCATGCTTACCAATGTGAATAAGTGTTGCAAATTCCAGGCAGTTATGATTTTCACATGAGCTTTTCTGTACATAATAAAGATGCACTGCAGTTTTGTCAGAGTTCCTGACTGCTTTGGCAGCAGTCCTGCCAAATATAGTTTCTGAATATACTTTTGTCTGAATGAAATATTTTCTATCCAGCTGTGCTGTTTGTTTGACTCGTAGTCCTTACTTGTGTCATTAATCTATTTTTTTATTGCAGTATTATGTTGTGAACTTTTATTGATGACTTCAGTAATTATCTACAGTGCTAAATAATTTGTTTTATATTAAATGAAACACTTTCTATCAGTTAGTGTTGGTATTTTTTCTGGCTGATGATGTCCAGTTTATTTTTACTCTGCTAGGAAATTCTTCCTCCTCCCCCTCTGAAGCAATAAATAACATAAAATTAGAAAGCCCTTATTTAGTAGACAGGGCACTTGATTCCATTAAAAAAAGAAGTGAGAATAACAATGTTGGGCACTGATGTGTGAAATGCACCCAGATGCAGAGGACTAGTTGCTATCTATTGTAATATCTTCCCTGCACATGTTTTAAAGCCATAAAAATCTGTAAACTTGTTTCTTCTGAGTAAAGCATGGCAGCAAGTGCTCTTTTTTGGCCCCACTGGTAATGGTGCTTTGCTAACAGTCCTAGCTTTGCTTTGCCTACAGCATGTGTATGCAGTCCTCCCCAAAGTGGGGCTTGCATAAGTGTACTGGAAACTTGTATTAATGTCTATTTTCCCAGTCAGAGGTGGTGTAAAATTGTCTTAGTCCTGAGACTGCCTTTTTCTAGTGAGGCTCCTACTCTCCTATTTCTCTGCTTTTGCAGTGTTTTCCAGCTCATCACTGTGTGTGATATGTGGGATTTAAAGATTTTATAAAAGAGAAAAATCTCAAGCTCGTAAGTTTCTTAAAATGTCCTGGATCACATTTAAAATAAGGGCAGAGCATGACATCAAGCTCCACGTCAGGGAGAGCTGAGCAGTAGCCAAGATCTGGGAGCTCATTGGAAAGCATTGTAAAATGTTAATTTGGCATTGTGGACGCTGAAGACAGAAATAACACTTCAGATAAACACCACAGAGAGATGGTAGTTCTAATCAAAGGCACAGCACCTCCTTTCATGCTTGCAAACTGGGGCTCCAATTATGTTCACTGCTCTGAAGCTGAATAGAGCTGCTTTGCCACACTTTCCAAATTGAGAGGAGAGGCAGCAGTAGTGTCTTCCAAGGCACAGTTCCAAATAACAATTAAGCAGAAGGAATCAGATAAGAGCCAAACATGAAAATGCAGCAAGTTGAAAATAAACTTTTCAAAATGTTTTCTTGTAATTGCAGTAGCTTTTGTTCTGCTTTTATAGTTTTTTTCCTCCCTACCACATGGTTGGTTAGATACCATGTACTGGAGTTTTCTGCATTCATTTAACAGAATATGAACAAAAAGATCTGAAATTTAAGTAAAAGTTCTTCAGTATTAGAATGAAATCCTTCCATCTAAAAATCTCTTAATTTATTAACGTGGCATGATGGCAAAGACAGTTTTTACCTTTTGTTCAGAAGTATGGCTGATGCATTCATTTTAAGAAAAACTGCTTTGCAGTGTTAATAGATTCTTTTCAGATGTTGTTGGGATTTTAAACTTACAAGAAAAAGTAGAGCTTCTAAGCACTTTAGGGTAATGGCTTAAAAACTATGTTTTTAAATTAAGCTTTAATGCTTTTTGTTTCTGTGTTAGTGCAACACATATATTTCTTAAAATTGCTTTAAAATGAACATGGTGTACATTTGCTGAAAATTGTCCCAGTATTTAAAGGACTTACATTTCAGTGGAAGACAAGAATTCCAGAAGGATTCTGATTGCATGCTGGAAATTTTCCTTCTTTTTTTTTTTTTTTTTTTGTTTTAGTTGAAAAACACCATTGAAGTATCCAAAATCATGAGTGCCCTGCAAACTTGCTCCCTGGGCCATGAATTATAAGACGAGAGTTTTAAGTCTGTTTGAGGAGTTTTTAGAGGGTGACACAAGTTCATTGCTGGAGCGAAGCAGATAAAGCCTTGTTTAAAAAAGGGTAAATATCTAATATTTATAACTGCCTAGTGATAACAGCATAGTAGGTCTTTCATTGTTCTGGTGTCTTTAGGTTTTGTGTGTGTGGTTACAACACACAGTTCCTATTACGTTTTTACGATATGGCAAGACATGGAGAACAATGCATAAATTAACAAAACAGAAAAGAAGGGATGTCACATTTTTCCTGTGTTTCCCAATCACTATCAGATTGCCTTTGGGTTTTTTTTTTCCCCCCTTGAAATAATTTGAGGAACAGACTTCATAAAACACAGTAAGTGTATTTGTAGCATCACTTAATTCAGAAGGCAGTAGGGGATGGATCACAGTCAAACAAGGGCTAATGAGAACACAGAGGAACATGACAACTGAAAGTCTCTGTTGACTAGTGAACTAAATCTGCCGGCTGGACCTGATTGTCTGGCGGAGAATTGAATGTCAGGATCATTTAGGGTTAACAATGGCCCATTACAAGCAAAAGCAGACAGCTATGAAAAATAGCCGGCATGGTCGCCATTCTGTAGAGACCGTGGATACAAACTTGATAATGAGGCACTTCATTCACTACATCCTTCTGCTCTAATTACTGAGGTGAATAGGAAATACTTCATTTAAGGCGGGAACAGAATAAAGCATAAACCACTTGTTTGGTAAACACAAAGAGTGGTGGGTTTTTTTAATGATCCTTTTCTAGCACGTATGAAATTAGTATGTATGCGGTGCAACCTATTTTATGGATGTGGAAGTGGGGAGGGGATACAAGTATTTTCTGAATAGCAGAAGGCATCTAGAAAGATTCATGTGCAGGTTTGTACCGTGAGGTTTTCCCCTTAGTATTCTGTACAGTGATTATCCAGAATGTTTTGGACAAACTAATTTATGGATGTACACCTGCGCTTGTAAAAACATATTGCGTTCAAGGAGTTTTATTGCTTGGATGATAGAATATGTGCGTTAGGAACGGAACTGCTGCACGTAAGGAAGAGAAATCAGAGGAGGTCTGAGAGGGAAATAAGTAACTTGAGAAGAAAACTGCTGTCTAGAGGAGACTTTCAAGAATGTGGCAATTAGAAATTGGAACTTAAGAAGAAGGAACAGGATAGTGAGAAGGCATGTTATAGCAGAGCTTTAGTGGCTTCAGTCATGTTTTTTAGACTTCAGAAATTAAGCTATTTAATCACTTTTTAATATAGTTAAGGTTTTTGTGCCATTTACAGGAGCTTTTTGGATGAACTCTTAGAACCCATGAGTCATATTCTTTATCTCACCAGTAACCTGTAACCTGGTACTGTCCTAACTCTGAGCTGCAGCCTGTGAAGGTCTGTATAATCTATGGCTTTCTCTTGAGGTAGGTGAAGCTTTGATTCCCTAATTTCTGGCATAGGTCTTCAGAGGGCACCTTTATAGTTGTTGCCTGCTGCAATGCACACCTCTGCCTTGATTCAGTCAGCTCCAGCCTCTTCATCCAGCACGAAACACCTGAAGCAGAGATGAGAATCTCACACTAAGCATCAAGCTGTTTTTTGAACATTAAATATTATATGATCCTTTCCTTACATGTAGGTGTGTTCTGCTCATGGTGGGTTTGTCCATTGTTCAGTGTGTTGTAGCAGCTGGTGGTTGCTGCCTGCCCCTTCAGAAGGGTCTGTTCCAGCAGTTAATGTACATGTAGAGTCCCAGTCCTGCAAGCTGCTTAGAGTAGATGGACCTCTATGCTCAAAGCTCTCCAAGAACTAGGCTTTCAGCGGCAACATCATGGCTGTACTTTGTGCACTAGTATACGCTAGCTTTTTTTTTTTTTTTTGGTAAGGACACTCAAGCCAAATGACTTTGCACTATGTTTGACTCTGGCAAGCAAGTCTAGTGCTCAAATGCAAATCCTCAGCAGAAACTGCAGATGCCATTTCTGGCAGAAAAATGTTTCCACACCACTAAAACAATATCAGTAAAATCTATGCTCTGAGCAGACATCAAATTTTTGTTGCACTTATATTGCCTGCACAGGCAGGGAGTATAATAAACTAGTGTGTAGCAGCTGTAAATTTTCTGAGGATTTATCTAACCACAAATACATTGAAATGGGGAAATAGGGCTATATTAAACTGTGCAAGATGCTGCTGGAACTCAGCCATTTCTGCAACATCCTGTAATTAATTTATTATGACAGGTCTGGCAAACTGAAACACCCAATACACTTGCGACAGACTGTTATGATATAGCTGTTTGAAAACTCTGTAGTCACACAAGAAGCAGGTATAGCTGGAACTGGGGGGTGAAGGGGGAGACTGCCCATTACTACTATTTCTCTGAATCTAGAAATCTTTCCCAGG